CTCCCTTTCTTGGTCCCTGTGACTTTGGCAAAGAGCAGGAAGTCACCTGATGCCACATCCGGCGACTGAGGTGGACGAGGACACAGCGTCGCGTCTTTAGAGCCCGCCTTCCCACTGGATGGCGCTCGGCAGGAGTCACTATTTTTTATCACACCTGGGAAGACACTGAAAAGAGGACCCCAGAGCTGCTGCAGACAGTGGCGAGGACGATGGGACAAGTATGCTCGAAATGAAGAGGAGTATTTTGAGGAGGAATCATGGCAATGGGACTTTTTACTGTAATCACTTTTTAAATTTAAACATTCACTGTATATTTTGGTCACCCTTGAAATAATATCAGTGCTAACAGATGATACGGTTTCACATCTCCTGTGGACCGGGTAGGATGCTGGGCACATCCCAGACGCTGTGTCTTTAAGCCTCCGTGTGATCATGCCCGTTCAGATTGTAGAATTCCCATCTTACAGGTTAGGAAGCAGGCTCAGCGAAGTTCAGAGAAGCCCACGTCGGATCTCGTGTGGCTGTGATTTGAAGTCCCGAATGGAAGAGCACTGCTGCTCCCTTCCACACCGCACTACTCACCACTGACCCTGTCCTTCACTGACCACTGCCTGTGGCCTGTGACCTCCTGGACAATGGCCCTGCGGTCACCTGTGCGGCCAGAGGAAAACAGCAGTAATCAGGCCAGGGTGCTGGTATTTTACTGGCTGAATCACGCTGGATTTGTTAACAATTCAAGACAAATGCACACTATGCAATCGAGAAACTGCTGGAAAAATGGTCATGTAGGGAGTAACCCCCTGTATGTCCAAGAAAGCATAAAAATAAGACTTAAAAAAGTAGTAATTTAGTCTTCACGTGGTGGGAGCATATTTCTGTTTTAAAAGCTCTTCAAATAAAAATCAATAGAACACATTCTATTTTAAATTTTGTAATAGTACGTGTTTGCAGTGCATAATGATTCCATTCCTTACAGGGTCTTGGCACATGTACACAGCACATCTTAATTCTTTTTCATCCCCGCTCCTCCCCTCTCCCTCCTAAGCGGTCAGATTTTACTGTAAGACTGTTCACTATTTTTTAATACCTGTTTCAACTCTCACCAAAATAAGAGAATCGAACCCTCTCTGTGCTCCATGCTGTGCGCATCTGGATGGGGAGACTGCTTTGCAAATACTGCTTCTCTCAGAACCTTCATCTTTTTACTACAGAAAACAATTAGGAAGCGGGGCTGGGGGACCTCTGACGCCCGCTCCTCCAGGAAGCTCCACCACACCTTCGGCCCACTTCACCCCTTCTAAAGCACCTGTGCAGACCGAGACTGGAGGGACAGGAAGAGATTGCGTGGGTGGCTGCAGGCGCCAGGCACAAAGGGCACGTCTCGAACGGAGTGCGAGGTGGGCTGTGACAGCGCTGTGTGCACGGGGCTGCGTGGGCTTCCGGGAGACAGAGGCCGCTCAAACGAGGGCTACACACCCAAAGAAGAAGTGTCCGGTCCGTCTCAAGCAGACCTGTACTCCGAGGGAAACCCGAGTGGACACACGCCAACTTCTGGGGCCTCCACAACACCTCACAAGGCCACGATTCGTCTGAAGGTCAAACACTGCCGAGCCACAGCCTCCCAAGGTTAAAGATGGAAAGCGCTCCATCTATCCCTCCCCAACCTCCCCACGGGCGGGGGAGCGAGTGTGTTGCACAAGTGTTATGTGGTGTGGGTGTGCATGTGGCGTGTGCTGCGTGCGAGTTGTGTTCACTGTACGCTGTGCAGCAGGGGAAGCGTCTGCAGACATCCTGTGTCCTGCAGTGGGTGTGACCTGTCTTCTTTGGAGCCCCGCAGTGTCTTTGCACATCACTCCCGCAACACACAGTTCCAACACCAGGCTCCCTGCGGCGCTCCTTTGCCACAGGGTGTCCGCACTGAGACAGGACTGGCAGAAGCAGCAGTTAAGTGACCTGGAAAAAGACTGCACATACCCCAGGCACCGTGCAAAACGCTGCGGCTAACATACTCGGAGCCCAGCGGGGGAATCAGACTCACTGCCCCACCCATGCCTGGTGCCCAACAGGGTGTCGGGGCCCCAGGGGCTCAGGCAGCTTCTGCACAGGAGGAGGCCATCGGCTTGGGTCTGCAAAGACCTGCTAGAATTTCCAGGCACATTTGTTCACCTGTTCCCACTGGTACCCCGCTAGGTGCTAGGGATGAGATGGGGTGGGCAGACCAGCAACTGTGCAGATCTGCTCTGCAGAGAAGGCCCCGCAAGAGAAGCCTGGGCTGCCGGCCACCAGCTGTCCATTCCTCAGCGCCTGGCCCTGAAGGCTGGGCAGGCTCCACCCCAAAACCTGCTCTGACTGTCTGCGTATTCCCTTCCAGTCATCTCACTCCTTTGCCCAGGGACTCCAAAGAACCCGGAAAACGAAACTGATTACGCTGCAAACACTGTCGGAAAGTCAGGGACCAATGTTCACACCAACTCTTGCATGCAGTGGTGGTCAAAATGACCACAAATGTAACAATAGGTTGCCAGCTTTTTGTTTTTCTACTAGGGATTTAACAACTCAAGGCCTTCACCCCAAGCTCTGTAGCCACCCCATGCCCCTTTTTGAGTGATTAAGTTGCTCAAGCTGTGCTCAAACTTGTGATCCTCCTGCCTCAGCTTCCCAGAGTACTAGGATTGCAGGCGTACACTGATAGGCCCATCATACCCTCAGCTTTGATGGCATCAAGCACTTCTGTGCCCATTTTCCCTTACTCACTTTCCATTAATCTCAGAGGCCCAGGACAAAGAGATTCTTGCTGAAGTGCCTGGCACGCCTCCCTCTCAGACCCATTGCAGGACAGGTGTCCCTTGTGCTCTGCTGCACCCAGGTCTGGGACAAGCTGCCCCCGCCTGCTTTGCCCTGCACCTGGCAGCACTGCCTTCCCCTCTCAGGTCTGAGCCACCGCCTTGTGTGGCCCTGCGGGTCTTTCCACGTGTGCCAGTGAGCAGGGAGGATGACGCCCGCTTCGGGGGCTGCGTGCCCACCTGAGTGTCCACGCAAACCTGCAGAGTGGGGGCTGGAAGTGCGCGTGTGTGCACAGTAAGCCCTGTGCTGCGGAGTGTGGGCGGTGTGTAGGTGTCCCTGAGATGTGTGTGTGTCAGGTGTGTGAACAAGTGTGCAGGCATCCTTGTTGGGGAGGCGTGCAGATCACTGCTGACCTGGCTCTCCCGAGAGCCGCGCAGACAGCTGAGGCAGGCAGCGCAAACACAAGTGAGAGAGACGCCTGGGAGGACGTCGTGCGTCGTGCCCGGCCCTACTCCTGTGCGCGGTGAGAAACAGCAGAGCCACGCATATCAGCGCCTCTCCCTCAGAACCAGGGACCCATGGAAGGTCAGAAAGGCCAGGCAGAGAGTGCGGAGGGGGCAGACAGCTCGGCCTGGACGTGCCGTGCAATCGGGCAGCGGGGTGCTGGGGAGGGCGCTGCGAGGAGCCACGGTGCGGAGAGGGTGTGAGGATGAGCTTGCTGCGCTGTGCCTGATTAGTGTGTGGACACGTGTGTGTGTGCACTGTGCTGTGCACACGTGTGTTGTACATGTGTTATACGGCAATGCATCATGTGTTCTATGCTGTGTATGTGTTGTGTGCTTGCATGCATGCATTGCGGTGTGGCATGAGCACATGTGTTCGTGTGTGTTGCGTGGTGTTCTATGTGTCGTATGTTGCACGGTTGTGCATGTGATGTGAGTGGTGTGTGCGTGTCTATGTTGTGTGGCATGTGTGTGTTTGTATTGTTCACACAAGCCCTGCCCACAGGCCCCCACATCCCTGTCCCTCCTCTTTCTCCTTCCATTTCCACTCCCCCGAGCAGAGTTAGTGCTTGCTTCCAGCCCCCTGAGTCATGCTTAGCCCCGTTCCCCTCCGTGCCTCCCGGCAAGAGGACAGCCTGTTATTCCGTGTGGCCCCTCATCCATTGTCACAGGCCTGGCTCAGGACACCAGTAGCCACCGCTTCTCCAGGCAGGCGGGCCTTTGTTCCAAGCCAGTTAAACCGCTTTTGTGTGTGGGTTTGCCTTGAACAAAACCCTGCTCAAACGGTGCAGACCTGACCAGAAGCCCAACTTTCACATTACAGCCTGGACTCGGCCAGTGGGGAGGAGAAACGCAGCTTCCTGTGCACTTCCCAGAGCCTCTCTGAGTAGCCCTGAGCCCCCTCGCAGGCCTCCATCCCCATGGAGGGACAGCAGATAAAAGGCCAAGGGCACACCATTCTCTCAGAAACTGATGCAAATAAACAACCTTGGTGATTAAAGCAATAGAAATCCTGGAAGATTGATGGCTTGGAAAGTGCTGCTGGGAGAAGGAATAACTTCCCCCTTGTTTCCAAAAGCTAATATTTGTCCACATTGGCTGCCTTGTAGGGAAAAGTGCAGCCTCTTTTCGTCCTGTGTATCGGTCCGAGACAAACAGCCTCCACCCAGTTATTACCTGAACTTTAAACCCATTTGTGAGCGACAGGCTGCGGGTCAGCACCTGCCCATTGGTCAGGCTCGGGCCAGAGCCTGCCCGCCCAGCCATGGACAGCACAGAACCACCTCCTGAAGGCCTCAACCAGCTCCAGGCTCTTTGCAGCAGCCCCAGGTCCCTGAAATGTTCTCAATGGCCACACTCATTCTGCCTGCAAGCAAAACTCTGTCCATGACTACCACACAGTGATCTTCTGCCCGTGATGGCCTCGCTTGCTCAGTCCTGGCTGTCCCGGGGCCAGTGGTTACCTGACCGCCCAAGGGCTCCATTGCTGGGTGGATTTCCACCTTCAGGGACTGTCCCTGCTTAGCATGGGACCGACCAGCCCAGCACCATAGTCAGGGTCTCTGGAAAGAATCGGGCTTTACACAGCCATTCTAGGAGCCAGAGAAGAATAACTCGTTGCCAAGTTACCACGGCAAGGGGGCTGAATCCCTCTCCTGCACACTCATGCTCACATCCCGCTTCTTCCCCAGACCTGAGGGCCAATGGACTCACATCCTCAGCAGCTGCTCCCCATCCTGAACACCGTCCTGCCCCGAAGATCCTAACTCCCACGTCTCAGGGTTGCTGTTCGCTCCAGGACAGCCTTCACCCGCTGACTCAGCTGCGCAGGGTCTTCCGGTTACAGTGACTTCCCTTCCGTCTCAACTCCGCCACCCACTCCCATGGCTGCACAAGGGCCAGCCACTCCCTGGCATTGCTCCAGCTGGGAAACCCAGAATGCAGTCCTGTCTGTCTCTGACTGCACCTGCCAAAGTCCGCCAGCTGCTTCTTGGCTCGTCCCACTACGACTAGTGACGACTAGTGCTTGGTTTTATGGACACCCAGCATTGTCCTGACTTTGGTTGTTCTTTATCCTCAGTTGGAGACACGGAAACCCTGAGTGCAGCCGTCATCTTTTCTGCACCACACCTGAGTATGATGTATCCGTGTAGAAAAGGACAGCTGGGTGACTGACCCTGCCTCAGTCTCTCTCTCCCTCTGGGTCTGTGATGCTACTGGAAATTTCGCCACACTTCCAGAAATCCTACCATGCCTCCTGTGCCTGCATGCAGCCCACACCCTACAACCCCGGTTAACTGTCCCTCCTCTCCTGGAGGGAGCCCTCACCTTGCAAACCTCCTCTGACTATAAGCAAACGGCAGTCACATTGTCGTGCATAAATCAGAAACTGTCAGAAGGAGAATCCTATGTATCCTACATCTCTTTGCCTTCCAGTTTAGAAAAGTCAGGCATCCTCTCATCGAAGGCCACACCTTCTAGACTTACGATTCCTTTCAAATTGTTCTGGCTGAGTCACCAAGAACCTGTGTGTTGCTTGGCCACCTGAAATATTAGCACTGCTATCTGCTTCCTGGAATTGTGCGGGGTTCACAACTTCCAGGCCACTCTGGTCTTGGTTTCCATATGCTCCAGTTTCCTCCTGCCACAGTGGTGACCTCCACCCAAGGACTCCTCTTTGAGCTCATTTAGATGGTGCTGATCTGTCCTCCATCCTGGGGCGCACTGGACGTGAATGCGTGAAGAGATCCACACATGTGCTTCTGGAGTTTCTCCTGCATCTCTTCCAGTGCAGCCAGGATCTCTGTACAAAGCCGCTGCATGGCCCCTCTTTTCTGCCTGGCTCCTTCGCCTCATGAACCATGACCTTGTCTTCCTGGCAAAAGCCTTGCCTGCTTCCTCTTCCCCGAGCGTGCTCCTGTCCTCTCTTCTGTTCACTGAGGTTTTCCAGGGACAGGGAGCAGCTGAGGCATCCGGGCAGGTCCCTGTCCCACCTGGTGCCCGGGACTTACGAACTTCCTATACCGCCGTATGTACGGGTGACTAACGCTTTCAGGCAAGTGTTGCCATCCTGTTACGGGTGTCCAAGGCCCAGAAAAGTTAAATGCATTGACTGAAGTCCTACAGTTAGCTAGAAAAGCCAAGATCTGAACCTAGATTTGACTTAAATCTAGAATCCAAACACATTTTTGTCAGGTTTCGGGTTGTATTTTCATGTGCCAACAATTCAGCTGATATTTATGGAAAGCTGAGAGCTAAGAAATTAGCATTGTGAGTGAAACTTGGAGATAAACTTTGACTTTAGTCTCTCTGGCTTTGAAATGTGATGTTTTCTCTGCCACGATTCCTTCTAGATGAGGCCCAAGACCTTCTGCCTCTGACTGGTTCAGGCTTCTCCTCAGGCAACCTTACCTCCTTTTTTCCCTTCTCGCTAGGGCGTCACATGCCATGTGGCAGCTGTGCCCAAAGCTCCCCGATGCCACGTGTGCAAAAGCCACAGAGTCCAGAGCTGCACGTTCACGCACGCATGCGCATAGACCTGTGTCCACACATAGAATGCAAATGCTTGTACACACCAGGCATCAGGCTGTCCTGGTTGGAGTTAAAGTTCATGCTTTACTACAGTGTGAGGACATTTGGGGCTCTAGGGAGGATCCAGCCAGAAGTATAAACATCTACATGCTCAACCCTAGGTGGATTAAATGCACTGAATGGGGAATGAGAGGTAACAGTGGAGAGAGAGAACGTTCTTTCAAGAAGTTTGGGTGGAAAGGAAAGAAGAGAGGCTAGGAGGAATACAGCATCAAAGAAGGGCATGTTGTAGTGTGGAAGAGATGTAAACAAGTTTATAGTCTGAGGAGAGAGACAGAAAAAGGTGATTTAAAATGCCAGAAAAGTAGACATGGTGGGAAATGGACTTGTGTGGTTAAAAATTCCAATCAGAAGAGGAGCCATCAATATTGTAGGAGGAAAAGGACTTTACTCTCAGAGCCTAGAGAAAAGGGACTGAGGAGGGGAGGGATGGATGGTAAATTTGTGGCTGATGGATGGGAAGTAGAAGAAAATGGCAGTAATTTCTTTAATAAGAAAGATCATTTGTTAGAGGAACTAAAAGGAAGCTATGCCCACAATAAGCTAAGTGACAGGTCTTCAGAGGTCCCCTTTCACAGGGGAGCACATGAATGTGTACTTGCTCCAAGCTCAGTTTTATCACTGACCCTTCAGCTATCGAAGAGTTAGAGCAGAAAGGTGGGTCAGTACCTCCTCCCTGCACTGGAAGATGTGGAGATGCTATAGTGGGAAGATCCAACCCCACCTAGAAAATTTACGGAGATGGTGCGGGTTGGAAGCCAGCATAGCATTTGACACACACTCATCCTCACCGTGCACCTGCAAAGGTTTCTCTGCAGTAACATAAAAAGCATGCATTAGTGATTCCTCGCTCTGATGGCTGCAGTTCATGTGGTCATTTCAGAGAAGTCTAAATTCGGTGTTTCTCACTTCTGAACAGGGAGTTTCTAGAAATGTAGGTTTTGAGCTGCTGTGTACAAAAGCAAGAATCTTGTGCCAAGCCCTAGGCACAGTTGAGTCGAGAGACACTGTGCCCTAGTTTATTCACATTCTCCTGTCTGGCTACGCAGAAACATACCGAGTGTTAACTCTGACATTAGCTGAGACCGGATACCCAGAAATAACAAGACCATAGGGGCTATGTGGATGGGCAGAGACTGAACTGTAGGTAGGTGAGGCCTGAGGAGAGAATCCAGTCTCTCTCAGCTCTTTTCCTAGGTCCTTCCTGGTGATTTGGGAGCAGGCTGCTGGTTTTCAGTCCCCTGCGTCCTGGCTTCCCCTCCTGCACCTCAGAATCAAGCATTTGTCACATACCCTTTCACCCAGCTCTGCCCTTGAATGTTTTGTGTGCAGACAGTGTGTTTTATTCATGTTTCTATGAGGAGAGGACCTTTAGAGGAAGATCAACAAATGCTTCTTTGATTATCTTTCATTCCATTCTCATATTCCTTTAAAGGTTACAGAAGTACTTCTACACACATTATTCTCGTATCTCACAATGCTGTGATTTATAAGGAGATTATAATTTCTGTTCGAAATTTCATTAATGCCCACAGTGATTAGGCAGCACACACACGTTGTCTCAAAGTTTTTCTCAGAAATCAAAAATTAAAACCAGAACAAGAACTTCCGGTTGCCCTCTTAGTCATGAGACTCAATAGCTATGACCTTCTTAGGATTATGACTGAACATCATCTCCCCAGCACCAACCTTGTTCTCAACAACATCGTTGTTGGTCTCCAACCATCCTGGTGCTGCAGATGTAATATCCCTCTGGCATCCTGGTGCTGCAGATATAAAATTTCCCCCAACATCCTGGTGCTGCAGGTGTGACAGCCCCTTGACATCCACACCCATATTTTTCTGGACCCTTCCATCCTTTTCTTCCACCCCTTGGAACAAGGCCCCAGATGCTGCTATAGTGCACTTCCTGGAGACAAGAAGAGCCCCACAGGGAAGAGGAGCCAGGCAGAACTGTGCTGGTCTATTTAAATGGTTGCTAACTCCCTGACTAACAGTTCCAAAGCTGTTTGGGGAAACTTTAGAAAATGCATGTGAAAGGCTATTTAAATGGCGACTCTTTCCTGTCAAGCCCCACCCCAGCACATAGTTTTACAGCCCTTATAATTCCTTGAAAAACTCAGTGCATATTAGAAGTGCTGACAGGCATTGGGCCAGAGCCGCCGGCCCAACAGCTCAGCTGTATTTACTTTTCATTACACTTGACTCTAATTGGTGCCAGTGCAACTGCGGCACACACCAGCCAGAACCTTTTAATTCAAGCATCAGCCCAGGGAAGTGCTCCTCCCCCCAATCCCAGCTCTTAATGTTAGCAACCTCCCATATTTCTTTCCCATCAAGCTACCTTTATGTTTGTGGAGAGACAGATGCATCCTTTTAAGGAGCATGCGAATTTAAAATAAAATAGACCTAAACTTTACCCCAGGCTGCTCTTCGGGGGTGGGGGTGGGGGCTCTGGAAAATCACTGGATCTCTGCGAAACTCTCAGTTCCTGCATCTACAGCGTTCAACCGCTGTTCCCACTTCACCGAGCCGCAGTGAAGATTGGCTATAAGGCCGGTACGGTATCTAGCACAGTTCCTGGACTGGAAGTTTGATGCTTTGTATCATTCCCTATGTGACATACATGATCAGTATGATAATTAATGATGATAATGCCATAGAAAAAGGAACCATCCAGTCCCTGTGGGCTTCTCCACTACAAGGTGTGATAGAAAAATATTATTACAGTAAAGGACACATTGTCATGAATCCCCCTCAAAATCCTCCTCCCGTCACTCTCAACACACTCCTCCCACCGCCCTCACCACTTCCTGCAGCAGCTCTGGAGTCCTCTTTCCTGGGGGTCTTCAGTTGTACTGTTCTGGTTGCCTTGATGTCCTGAATGGATTCAGAATGTTTTCCTTTTATGGTCATTGTGACTTTGGGGAGGATCCGGAAGTCGCACGGTGCTGGGTATGGCGACTGAGGCGGATGAGGACACAGTGTTGTGTTTTTAAGGGCTGCCTCTCCATTGATGGTGGTCGGCAGCATCATTTACCTTATTTATGATCACACCTCATGAAAACACTCAGGAAAGAGCATTTCTAGAACTGCTCCAGAAGGTAGGAAGAAGGATGAGATAAGAGTATTGGAACTGAAGGATTTTGAGGGGGATCCACGGTAAGGTTCTGTTATTGTAATAAATGTATTAAATGCAAGTATTCAACATTTGTTCTGATCACCCCTATATATGATGGGAGCAAAACCAGTAACTCACACCCAGGGAAGCCCTCTGACAGTTCCCCATGGAACACACCCCTTTCCATCCAAA